GTTGGCTAAAGGGATTGCATCTGTGTGCTAAAGCCACAATGCAGCTTATTTCACCAATGCATGAACCCTCTAAACAGGCATCAACACCATCCACTGAACAGGAGCTTGGGAAGGTCATTTCAATGCAACTGTTCGCTTGCAATATTACTTGATCCAAGGGGACACATTTGTATTCTTGTTGGGGAAGAAAGAATCTTAAAGTCAGTGACCTAATTACTGTTATGACTTATACACATACATGCACAGTCCCTTCAGAGAAGCTGGAGCTGGCTGAAAAGTGTAAAACCAGAGAATGTAAAAAGTGGGAATGTTTTATGAGTGCTTTACCAGCAAAATAGTACAGGACAATTAATATATTGTGTAATAAACATGATTACTGAATAATCAATTAAGCATCTGGTTGTCATTGCCATTCCTAAAAACAAAGGGAAAAAAAGGCAATTGATTTACTACACTAGTGTGAGTTAAAAAAAAAAACAAAAACAAAAATAAAACCCACAACAGAAAATCCAGTCTCTTTCACCCACATTTCTGATTTCAGAGGCACCTTATTACAGTAATCCATACATCAGTTGGTGGAGCACAGACTTTGAAGATCTTATGGCAGCTTTCCCTGCCTTACTAGCAGAGCTGTGAGCTTGATAACTAATCACTCCTTAATAACTCATGTTTCCTCTGCAAAAGCCCCTGAAATGCAACTAGTGGGGGGAAATATATGAGCAGGGATTTGTGAAGTAGAAAAATCACTTTGGGCTTCTTTCCCAGTAACCCACAGGGTTTTTTGAATGGGGGGTGGGGTGACAATGAATGCAGTTCCATTTCCCACATGCCCAGACCTTGCAATTGGGAAGTGATCCCTGGTAGTGTGTTTCAGACATATCCCCAAATAATGAAAACAAAACATGGATTTGTTGAAGGACTCACTGGTTTGGCTGCTGCTTGAATTTTTCTGTAGGAACTCTTAAAACCAGGTATCTTTCTCCCAGATATGTTCCCCCATCCTGTTTAGACATGATACAAATATGTCTGCTCAGGACTTTCCCAGCTGTGACCCTAAAATGACTCGAGTCACTGAGATCTTCATCTCTGTGATGGCACAGGCTCTTTGCCAGGTGACAATTACTGAAACCACTTTTCTGGTCACTCTTTTGCCCAAATGGAAGCATCTGAGGTGTTCCTGGATCAAAAGGTGACAGCAGCCCTCTGCCTGATTGCACAAGCAGCATTTGCTTAGAAACCAACACGTTTATTGGGGGAATCCTGTGGGAGCTTCAGTATCTTCCCCACTGCTTAACCCACACACAATTCCCATTTCTGGCTGCAGCTGCACAGCCCATCCACACAGATCTGCCAGGGGCCGGGTAAAGCAGCCCCTGCTAACACAGGAACTTGGAGTGTTCAGCCTGCAAAAAGACACTTTGGATAGCACAAGCTGCAGCTGGATATTGTCTCTTTTTTTTGGCCAAAATAGAAAGGCTCCTAAGCAGAGGTATTTTGAGCATTCACAGTCAACTGAGTTATGAGTTGGAAAAGCATCAGCCATGCAGGGCTATCCAGTATATGCCCTGTTTTTCTCCTCCTGGTTCATGCATTTTCACTCCTCTTTAGATTTCTGGCCACACACTGTGACTTGTGATGACATGGAAGAACAAGGCCTTTAAGTCATTATTAATTGCTACTACTGTAGTTTTAAAAGGAGTTTTTAGGAAAAACTCAGTTTTGTTACCATAGGAATGAAGCTGTAGGAGCAGTGAAAGAACAATTTAAACAGCACCCTTTAAGTAATTCACTTCAACTTTAATCCTCTGCTCCATCCAAGCTCCTCTTGGCCGTAAAGAAAAAGATTTTAAAAGCTCTCTCCCCTCCTCGGTGCTGCTTGACTCCAGCCCAAATTAGGAGGTGCAGCCCTGTTATCTGTAGCAGGTCTTAGCAATGTCCCTTCCCACCCACAGAGTACTTCCTTCTTGAAGCAGCTGCAAAGTGCTCCTTGGCTCAGCAGAGCTCCACTGGTTTTTTTCAGCTGTTTTAAAACACTGTTTATGCAGCTTTTATACAGTAAGAAGAGGGTGAAGGGAGGAGCATCTAGTCCACTGTAGGAGAGCAGGTTGGGATGCTTGGACCTGGTGAGTTTGCCCATTACTCAGCGTAACCCTGACCTGAGGGAACTCCTGTGTTCTCTTTCTGAGCTGTTTGCTCCTCTTTTTCTCTTGGAAAGGTTTAGGTCTGCATTAAGTAAAAAGGCAAAGTGAGTTGATTAGCCACTCTGCTGGACTTCTCCAGCAGGCAGGAGACAAGGCAAGGAAGGAGAACAGTGAAAAGCTGGCACTCCCACTAGCTGTGCCTGCTGTTTGTTTATTAAACCTTTGAACCGTAGAAACTTGATGAGCAGCAATAAAGTGGAGTAACACTTTGTTTTCCCTGGATTTAACTCTTTTGAGATGCCATCACTATTCAGATTTGTGAGCAGTGTTCTGGTTTCCCACCTCATGCTTGGGAGAGCCTTGGGAGGGACTGCTTTGTAGAGCAGGGAGCTTTCACCCTAAGGCATATCCAAAGTCTGGCCAGGCAGTGGGAGAGGAGCCTCTCCAGGACGCTCCAAAGCGCGGCTGTAACTCCACAGACGCTGTCAGGTGCTCCAGCCACTTACAGATTAAAAACCTAATGCCTGGCTCCTCCTCAGCAAATGAAGAAGAGCCAGGAAAGCGAGCCAGTGACCAGGTTTTGGCATGACTTTCTGGCAATTACAGTGGCCCTATTTATCACCCAACGTCTCCTTTTCATTGCATGTGTGCTCCAGCATTCTGCCTTGTGCTCTTTGCCTCTAGAGCCTGCCTTATCTTCCAGCTGTCTGGCCAAGTCTGCTCCAGTAAGCCTTGACCACGGCATCCTGCCTCCAGACTGCTCCCAGGCGTGGGGAATGGCATGGTTACTCCAGAAAACCTGTTACTCCAGCAGGGCACTGCCCACCAGAGCCAGCTAGAGCTTTGTGTCCAGCCCTGCTTTTAGCAAAGGTGGAACAGCACTCCCACTGTTGTTACTGCTGGCTATTGCAGACAAATAGGTATTTTCAGACACCACCCCCCTCACAGACACACACACACACTCTTATTTCTCTACACTTGGCCAAGCTGTCAAAACTGGATCCTTTTATGGGAATGTACAAGAGGGGTTTCCATAAGCAAGCTGGAGATTCTGGAAGGCACGGTTGCTGCTCTCTTGAGGTAGCTGATAGCACTTTATGGCCCTTCTATCCCATTAAATTCACTTATTTGTGCCTTCATTTCCACACAGATTCACAAATATGGTCACAGTCAAAAGAGAGAACCTCATTCATATTTTATGTAATATTTCCTTGCATCTCAAAGGGAAAAAATGGTGATAGGAGGAAGACTTTGAAGGACTGGGATGTTTTTACTGGCTTTCCATTTCTTTTGTCTCTGACCCAGTTCCTGGACTACAGGAAAAACTTTCACTGTTTATACTACCCTAGTATATATTGAAGTCTACAAAAAGAATACAACAGGTAAAAAAGGCTCTTGTGGATCCTGTGCTGGTGCAACATTTTAATGGAGCACTTAAAAGGTAGTTTTGTATTTTTTAAAATAAGCTCTCCAGCTATTAAGAATGCTAGGGAGAGGGAACTCTTATTGCTTCAGTTTTCCTGCAAATATTTCAATGTTCTCTCACATTATGTTGAATCCAGCCAAAAGACTGGACAACCACAGAAACCACCAACTGAATGTAAGATAAACCAAAAGGGGAACCACTGAAGTTGCAAAACTTAGGTAGCACAGTGAAATATGAATACAAAAGAGGGGATGGGGCAAGGGCAGCAGGGAAGAAGGAGGAGTTTAAACTTATCCCAGTATATTATCAGCATTCCCTCGGCATTCTATTCAAAAAGGTGGAATTTAATCTGCATTGCCTTTGAATAAGCAGTATAATCTCTAAGAACTTCTGCCTCACAAACACCTTTTTTCCTGAGAGCTGACAGAACTACTTCACTGATAGCGTTCTGGTAAAATACCTCCAGGGTAAAGTGCTTTTATAAACAACCCATTCCCAAGTGAAACTGTAATACATTTATAGGACAGAACCTTGGCATGTGTAATATAAAAGTCACTTTGGGGAACTGGAGCTGGTTGATGGCAGCTGAGCCTGGCTTAATGCTCTTACCAGCACATCCTATGTCCTGCCTTCTCTTGTGCAGATCTTTTCTAAAATAAACAATACCTTACAGTCCCAAACTGCCACGGGAGCATGGTTAGGCTCAGTCTCCTCATTTCCTCATCCCTGTGGTGCAAGGACTTGTGAAGAGTGGTCCTGGAGCTGTCAAGGTAATGCAACACCCCTGACTACCCAAGAGAGAGGCTGCAACCCTCCTGGAAAGCTGTCTGTAGAAATGGATTTTTAACATTTATGCCTCCCCCTTGTGTCTCTACCATATCAACTCGCCAGACTGTGTTTATTTCTCAGATGCAAACTTTACACATGGTGCTGCCTTAGATTGCTGGTAAACATGTAAATCCAGGAGAGCACTGAGAACAAAACTTCTTTGAGCTGCTGAGTCTAAAATCTCCTGTGGAAACCAGCCAGAATTATAACTGTTACAGAGTCATCTAATATTTAAGAGAGGATAGGGAGCATAATATTCCATGCCTTCATTGAGCACGAGCTATGAAGAGACAAACTGAATATTACTAATTCTGTTCCACTGGAAAAGGATAATGTTGCCACTCACTTGTGAGAATTGGGCTTGATTTGGGTTGGGAAGTTTGTTTTGGTGTTGTTTATTCTTAAAAAGTGACAAAGTTCTTTTATTTGGTAGAACCTAGAGAAAATAGCATGAAAAGCCAAGGAAGAGAGAATTCCTGGCCGATCCCAACCTCCCTGACAAGAAGAAGGTGAGAGATGCCCTTTTTTATGAAGATTTGTCTGCACAGAGGGAGAAAGAAGTTACCCAAAGACAAGCAGAATTAAAAATCAGAAGTCAAACCTACCTGACTTGCCCACGCCAGCTCGACCGAAGATCGCCAACTTCACCTCTGCGCTCTTGGCCATGCTGGAAGGAACACAGTGCTGGCAAACTCACTCAGTCACCAAAAGTGAAGCAGAAGAACTGCTCCCAGCTCCTGCCTTCAGCTTCACCGTGTCATTGTGACGTCAATGCAGAGCCTGGGGAAGAGCACCACGAGGATGGAGCTGCGAGGAGCCAGGCTCTCCCTTTCCCCTGCCCGCCCCCCTCCTTTTTTCCCTTCTTTTTAAATAATCATGATAATTGATGCTGTGTTCCTGCTTTAAACATTGCAGTAGCACCACTGACACGTTTGGCACTGTTTGTGCAGAGCCTACCTTCAGCTTTCTGGCTGCTGCTGCTCTTGGCTTCACACTGGCACTCTAAGATTGCAAAAGGTACTTAACAACCCCAAGCACCTGCCTTGCAAGGCTCCTAATTACTAATTTCTTCCTTTCTCTCTCAGCTGAAATGGCATATATTTATGTCATATCAGGGAATTTTTTTTTGTGTAGAATATATTGAATAGCTGTGACTCATTAGTGGTGCCTGCAGCAGCTACTCTTTCCTCCAGCTCCAAAAAGGTTTCAATTACTCAGCAGCAGTTGCCTAAAATCCTCTGAGCACTTGTACCTTGCTCACTGCCCTAAACAAATCCATGTTCTAGCACTCCTTTTTAAGCTGTCTCAGCTCACACATAAACATTCAGCAAAGCAAAAAGATGCCAGAGTTTCTGGTGCTGCACTTTGAGCATGGGATTGTCTTGTCATCCTGTCATGGTAGAATGCTTCAAGATCTTCAGTGAAAACACGGCAATCGTGACGATGATGATCCTCTGCCCTGACTAAAACGTCAAATACTCGGTCCCCTTAAAGCAGGGTTTTGCTGCTGAGCTGAAGTACCCACTTCTAACAGGAAATGCATTTAAAAAAAAAAAAAAGAAAACGAAGAAAAAAGAAGCCTAAGGCTCTTACCTATACAAAAACGCTTGTAAAAACAAAGAGTAAAGACACCTTACATCGAGAACGGTCTCGATTCATCTCTGATGTCTAAATGCTCCTGATTCCTTTTGCCTGAGAGGAAGTATCAGACTGGAAGGAGGAAGAAAAGTGGAATTGTAACTGGTGGGGAAACCAGGGGAAGACTTAAGAATAAGAAATGATTGATCCAGAAAAGAGAGAGACAGGAAAAATAGGGAAGTCATGCTCTTAAATGTAAATATATTTTTCATCTGGAAGCAACAAAGTACTTTAAAAATAAATAACCAAAAGCACAGTTGCTCTTAAAGCTCATTTTATCGTAGATCTTTTGCTGACATTGTTTTCTTATTGACGTCAGAGGAGGTTTCAAGAGCAATTGGAAGCAGCTGTCTGCCTCAAATACACGTTGAAGCCATCAGGAAAAGTGGTGGAGAGTCTTTCCCTGGAATATACTTTGAGACTAGTCCAGTGTGTCTTTTCATCACAAATTTTAATCATCAATTGCTGGCTTTGTTTATGTTTGCTGTACTGGGACACGTCCTAGAGCAGCTGCATCAGATAAGGGTGCACAGTAATATATCACTGGCTTTACCAAATCCATCCAACTCAC